ATTATTATTATGTTTATTACTTCAATCTGAGAATATTTTACCAAACTGCTTAATGAGCCTAGTGCTAAATTGGCCTTCAATGTCTCCTTCTCTCCCCATGATGTTCTAGATAAATGCATTATTTAAAGTGTAAATATAGCCACGTTTCTTCTTTAAAAGTCATTAAGTGGGTTTTCATAAACATTGAAATGATTTTTTAAAAGAAAAAATATAAATTTACTCTACTCAGGGACCACATGTTCAAATCTGCCTCTCATTCCAAAGATTGGATGATTTTAGCCTTCCAACATACAAAGCATCATCTAAAGCACAGAATTAGATTTCTCCTGGAGTTTTGAGATGTTTCATATGAAGGCTCTTGCAAAACCCTCTGGAATGATGCCAGAGTAGCTATGATGTAAGACTCAAGATGCTGCTACTCAGCTTTAACACAATACATTTTCTTTTGACAGGCTCTCACTTTAGAACTTAGGCTGGCTGTGTCCTAGAGTTTCTTCTGCCTCAGGATCTTGAGTCCTAGAATTATAGTCTTGGACCATCATCAAGCTGAGAAGACCACTATTACTCTGACTATTTTACAGACTAAGGTTGATGTTTCATTTTTTGAAAGTTCTGAATTTCAGCAAAGTTTGGAAACTACAGATTTAGTGCAGCTAATACATTTTTGAAATACCTAAAACATCTATAAAATCATGCTGTATAAATGTCTAAATTTCTAAGAGTTACACTTTATGTCATCACTGACTCAGGAAGACTATACAGGATAATTAAGGAATAATTCTGAGTAGCTGCATACACAGTTTGGCCACAGTACTTCTGATCTTCATCTTAGACAAAGCTATTCTACAGACATAATCAAGTAAATAAATATAAAACTAGAAAGAAAGAAACCTAGTTCAATCAACAGAGGGAAACCATGCCTGGAAACATGGCCAACTACTCAGGGCTAGTGAAATCCTGAACCTTGGAGGAAAGCATCCAGCTTCCACTTTGCTAAACCAGCATGTTTTCTAAATACATTATATTATCCTTCTACCCACAGTTAAGTGTGGTTCTTACCTCTCATTAAATAAACATTTCCTTGCAGCAAATTGAGACCATTACAGAAAATCACAACTGGTAATTGATCAAAATGCAGAGAACAATTGACCATATGGTGCCCAGCCCTAACTGATGCATCTATAATATAACTTTTGTATCCAGGTCTCAAGGATTATAGTAGAAGATGGGGTAAAAAGATTGTAAAAGCCAGAGGCTCAGAAAGATTTCTGTGAGATTTCCTCTTCTAAAATTTCAGATTAACTACACCCATGAAGTCTCATCTATATGGATGCCTGAGAAAGAGTACCAATATAAATGCTAACATAAAAGGGGGTAATTTTACCTGGTCTCAACCCTACACAAAGAACCACAGCCAACCAACAAATGCTGAGAGTAAGAGAAAATAGTCTTCCCAGGGGAAAGTTCTGAAGTTGTTAATCCAATAACAAGCAGTCAGCCCAAACATTATATACATACCAATATCATTTAAAAATAATAATGAAGAAACCAGGTAAGAAGAAATCTCTACATATGATTACATACTCACCAATGATGAGAATGAGTTTGGACATGGTTACCCTCAGTACTGATCCAGCACAGTCTTGATTAGTTTTATATAGCATTTTTATCCCTAGTAATCACAAAAATTTTCAAATAAAAATGTTTACTAGACTACATATGTGGTTAATTGGTAAATCAACAGCTCTCAGCTACTGATTCTGCTTTTAATACCAAGCCTCCTAGCAGGAGGTAGAGTCTACATTTACACAAAGTACTGCCATGTCTAATAACCTTTTCTCTACATCCCAAGGCTGGTAAACATCTGCTAAGATACAGCAATCAGGTTTTAGTTCACAGAATTTTCATACCTGGCATCAAAGCATGTTTCTATTGGCAGATAAACAACAAAAACCTTTGGAAGTTATTAGCTCTGCTTAAACTGTGTTTGTCCCAGGAATTATTCACATGTAATTTATATGGTCATGCCTAAAAACTTTCCCTTTCCCTATTGAGAGTTCACTTTCTCAACATTCTGTCCACAATTATTCTTTGGAATAGGCAAGATTTGGAGGATTTAAGATTTCAAAGAATAATAGCTACAGCTACTGGGAAAGTAGATACGGAGGGCCAAGGGGCAAATGGAAGACCTCAGACTGTGGCATTAGATGTCAAATTTCAGATACTTACCTGACACTTGGGCATACAAATTTGAAGTGGAGAAGAGAAGTATGAGTTAGAAATAGAAACTTAGAAGTCATCAGAATAAAAATTACGTTTAAAAATATTTAAGGATGACTTTATAAACAAGCTAAGCCAGGATGAAAACAAAATAATTATCCAAGATGAAAACAAAATAAGTGTCTAGATTGAGCCCAGGAGCCATGCCATGTTTAAATATCAGAAAGATGAGAAATCAGATTAAAGAACTGGTGAACATTCAAGAAATAGAAAAGGACAAACAAAGTGATGGCCTTAATCTGTGAAAGAAGTTTCCCAAAAAAATGAGGTAATCACACCTATAACCCCAGCAATGGGAAAGTTAGGCAGGAGGATTTCTATGAGTTTGAGTCAAACATCGACTACGTAGTGAGTTCCAGGGTAACTTAGACTACAGTAATAACTTGTCTCCAAAATGAAGAAGGAAGAAAGGAGTGAAGGATAGAAGGAAGGGAAGAAGGGAGAGAGAGAAAAGAGAGAGAGAGAGAGAGAGAGAGAGAGAGAGAGAGAGAGAAGCTGGTATGCCCATAATGTCAAATGTTGCCGGTTGTATACTATTTCTATGTCAATACAAGATCCTTGAGGCTAGAATCAATATCTGACTCATATAATTTCTGAATACTCACATGAAGAAGACAGCTTATGAATACTGAATGAACAACTGAAAAAGAAGAGTTGTGGTCACTCACAGAGCATCATCATACTCTCTGTTACTTCTTTGCCCACAAACAAGATGGCTGTCCCAAGAAAAACTGAAGGAGCAATAACAACTTCTATAGTTCTCATATTGGCAGAATAGTCATACTAAGGAGTATGACTTCATCTATCTAATGCCACCCTGGTATACTCCCAGGAAGAAGAATTTCAAAGTTTAGGAAGTTGAGGCAAAAATTTAGGGAAGCAAGGAAAGTTAAGAAAAAAAATGAGATCAGAAATTGTTTCTTTGAAAAGACTGAAAACTCATATGAACCCTGAGGCAGATACACAAAGAAATAGAGAGTGGTGAATTACTGGAATAAAAATAAAATATATTCATTACAACCCATTCTATAGAAATAAAATTACTATAAGAATATACTATAACAATTGCACAAAAAGATACTTATAGTCTAAATATAATAAACAGATTCCACAAGAAATTGGCATGTGTACCTAGCTCCAGCCAGTCTTCAAATGGTCTCCCTTTGATGCATAAACACTATAATTACACAAGACCATCACTGGGAGCTATTGTACAAAGGCCAAAAACAAGTTCAACATTTGTCCAATGTCCACTTCAACATAGAGCCTGTGTGACCAGGAAGTAAGAAAATTGCTCCTTCATTCCTTAATCCTCTTTAAAACTTAAGATTCTTCACTGATAGATAATATTGACAGACACTTAGTCATATAATTCATTGTAATATGCTAGAAGTATAGAAACATAAGGCAGGAGAGAGGTCACTTGGAGTTCTTGAATTACATCCAATATTGAATTATTTTCAATTCTCAATAATGGTACATAATCCCAAGAAGATTAATTAAAGGACCTGTATTGTCTGAGTTAGTTAAGAAACTAGGATAATCTGAATAACAATTTTCCTGTGTAGGTGGTGCAAATATAAGATAGTGAGAATTTTCTTTCCTTGGTTTCAGACAGTACCTTCTGCCTAGCAAGGAACTTTTGATTCTTCCACAAGTGTCCAAGGCATTTTTCTCATATATGAGTCAATCCCCTAGGTAAGACATCTCACAAACAGCTTTCTATTTACAAGATCATGGAATAGTTGGAGGATTTAATTTGTACTACCCAGGATGCATAATGATATTCAGAACATGATAGAACTTTGTTTCCACGCAACAGAAAATCCAATAGGCACAGTGACAGTACTGAGTACCTGAATTACTGTGCACAACTAGCTGCCATACTATGTTCAATCTTGGTTTCTAACAGACTGGCTGTTCCTTGGAATGACTTTATTCATGGCATTAATAATGTTGGGCAAGCAATCTAGTTATATTGCCAGTTGGAAGCAAATATCAGACTTAAGCAACTTGTATTTAAGACAATTGTTTCAGCATTCTCTTGCTCCTCCATGTGTAATGTAATACATTATGTGGTCATGGTATCACATTGGATATATAAATAATATACATATGTAAGTAATATATGATTTATAAATAATGATATAATAGAATTAGCAACTTAAATGCCTTACAAATGTGAAGGTTATATCCAAATGGAAAGTGAATTTACCTAATTTATCAAGTCAAGAGATTCTAATATTGGATGATAGCAGACATCCATTTCTACCCCACTAGTTTACCTACTATCTCAAAGAAATTGGATAAAATGTTGAGAACATCATCATCTTGAGACATGAAGTCCCCTAATCTTCTGTGATCAGCTTCATTATCTGCCTTCCTTTGTCGTTTATTGGGTGATTCTTTAATCAATACACAATATACATGATATTGTTACTTGTTTTCTTAACCAAAAATGAAAGTCATCATTAATTTAATCATTTTAGAGCCAATTACTAAAGTCATTATAAGAAAATTTCAAACATTACAGGCATGCTTCTGGGCTTCTATATATATATACAATTTTTAATTATTTGGTAATCAATAAAACCTCTCAAAGTACAATAAAAGTAAAACTTCTCAAAGCATGGTAAAAATTTATGATCATTGATGAATAGTCTCATTGACAGCAGTCACACTCCAAGATATAATAGGCTCAGGTGTCCTTACAGTAGAAATGGGTAGCTTTGCCTCTTTTTATAAAAGGAATGCTGTGTCTATGTAAAGTAGTTCACTCTCTTAAAATACACAGCGAAAAACAAGTTGATCATGCCTCTAGCATCAAACAACTGTCATCAGAGCAAGACAAATGGTTTCAGAATTCCTCATGAATCCCCTGGGTCATACCTGTCATCATGTATATTGTGTATTAACTATTTTGATTCTTATTGCATGTTCTATAGTCCATCTGTTAAATCAGTTCATCCAACATATCAGTTGATCTCAAGTATAACATCCTTTTGTTATCTGAATACAGACAGCAGCCCCTAACTCAGGGATTACCAACTGACTAACTGGCACAGTGATAACCTTAGCCTTCCATGATGCCGCACCTCAGTAATGAATAGCCAGAACTGAATCAGTGTCCAAAAATTCCTCACGTTCTACCTCCTAAACTCCATTCCATAAAGTTGACTCTTTTTTATGTACAAGCAAAAAGTGTGGAATGTTCGTTCTCAGATGCTGCCACATTACAGGAGAGTAGTTATGCTCTTCTGTGGTTCTTTCCCATGCCCAAGGCAATCTGAGTTACAGCCTTATATCCTGTCTGGTACCTTCACATGGAAGCTCCTTACACTAAGGACTTATCTCTTGTCAGAGACTTCTCACTTTAAAAGACTATAGAAATAAGGCATTTCCTTTGTTTTGTGGGCTGCTGTGAGACCTGGTATTACAGATTCCCACATTGTGGATCCCCAGCATTACTGAAGGATATTTCACCTGGGAAAAAAAAGCATAAGAATTTGAAATGGTGTTAACAAGTTATGCCTACACTTAGAGAGTTTTGAGGAACAGGAACTGTGGTTCCAGGGTATTCTATCCTGCCAAACATAACACAATTGAAGTATAATTTTCTGTTTGGTGAGAACAAGTGGGCATTCTCAAATGTGAAAAGACTTGAAGATATTAGCAAACACAGAGAAATTTGAGAACACATGTAATTAAAAAAAACTGGATATCCCTCCAAAAAGAAAAAGAAAAATGCAAAAGAACTTGTTCTATATTCAATGCCAAAATTACAAGGAGTAATATTTACAACAAAATTAGGGGAAGAGTGAACTGAAAATTGTATGTACAAAATGATCAGCTGTTTGTGAAGTGTTTTCACAAATGCAAGAAAAGAAGAGAAGACTTCAGGTGTTAGTTGGCAAACCAAAGCAAGTAAGAAATTTAATTCAGGGAAGAAATACATTAGAGGAGTTGGATACATAGAGGAGTTATAAAAATTCAGATCAGTTATTAAAAGAGACAATATAACTTATCAAATAAAAATAAGATGCAAATCAGGAGGCAAAGGATCTCAAATAAGTGTTGAATTTTCATTACTGAAATCTCTTACAAGAAAATATGAGTTAAAACCCAAATCCACACTGTAATTTCCACAATGTTTCTTCTTTTATTGTTCTTTTTTGTTATTCTTGTTACTAGAGGTTGACCCTAGTTCCCACATGTGCTGAACAAATTCTTTCCCAGGCTGGGGTCATCCTTGGGGACTCCTGGCAACTTCCCTAGCACCGGGTTTCTCTCTATCCCCATGATGTCTCTCTCTATCATGGTATCTCTTTCATTGCTTTCCCCCTCCCTCCCTGTTCCAGCTCAACCATCCCATTCCCTTATGTTCTCATGCCCTATCCCCTACCCTCCATTGCCCACCCCTCATCCCCAGTTTACTCATGGAAATCTCATCTATTTCCCCTTCCCTTC